GGGGGGGGGGGGGGAGGTGAAACAAGAACGAAGATTCAACTGTAAGATTTCGAAAAGTGCTGCTGGCTTCTACAAAAAGACTCTTCACTTCGAGTTCTTGTTCGATGTCAAAGGTATGCTGCATCTTGGCCACTTTCCAGATTCGAGATAACAGCAGGGTTACACCATATATCTAGTTCCAAATATCTAGTACGTACAACTTCATGTGGCTAAAGGGGTAGTAAAACCTCCTACCAAGCAGGCTCCAACTTGCCCTGCGCTCTGAGAATAACATTAATATAGTAACACTCACCTTATACTGGAGTAAACAATCGGTTTGAGCTGCAGCTTGATTTCGAAATTCAATATTAATGTTTGGATTGAATTGCCTTTCATCAATTGTAAGTAAAGTGACTCGAAGCCATGGTTGGATTGTCAAATAGCCCTGAAATTCTCAAGATCCACTTCCAAAGTGTTCAGTACACTTCTTTTAAACTCCGCACTTGTTGTTAAACCTAAATACTAACAACTATTCTTCTTATACATACACATCGAACGAACCTCTTTTTCGTAGATTTTCAGCAATTCAAATACAGGGGAGACCATACTGCGGACGTACAAATGCATGTGCGTACCATATCTGCAATGAAGTCGAGCCAAACTTTACTATTAGCCTTTCAGAAGAGCAGCCAATACCATACTAGTCGTTATACCACTACTGACTAGTACTAATAATGTATTTATAAGAGTAATGGGTCTAAATTTAAGAACGGAAAAGGTTCGAGGTACTCACAAGGATGGCGATTTGTGAGCAAAACTTTGGCCTCGGACGAGACTCGAATCCGTACTTGTGCTTTCCGAGCACCGCACTCTTTTATACCTTACACTACCGAGACCTCGCCTAACAAGATCGGTAGTAACAACTGCCCAGACAGCATTGGTGCACCCAGTTCAAACCTGCTCCATGGACCAGTGTGCGTGAACTATTCTAAGAGATTGGGTCAAATTGGCCAAGGGTATAGAGGATATGGGGGAAACTGCCATCATGCACACCAACAGCATAAGTTGACCCGAATTGAGGGCCTAATTTTTAGGGAATAAAGGGTTCAGCTCGAAGAAATGTGCACGTACGCTCCGACTTCTGTATCGTTCTCTTAGCACTGAAAAAATCTCAGCAGCCCTAGCCGTTACATTTAGTTCCAACTCACCTTTTGTAAACGTGAGCTGCAAACAGGGCTTGTTGCCATTGTTCGTTGCCAAACAGTGGTGCAATGCATGTTACCACACCATGTTTTTTCTCTACTGCATTACGAAACGGAATCTGAATAGTAAAACTTTAGAATTCCATCGAATACCGGTTATGATGCTCGGGAGTTCAGAATTTGAGTAACCAATTTTGTTACGTAACTTTATCAGAAAATCTACTATTTACCCCGAAAAAAGATTTTTTCTCATTCTCGTAGGCGCGTAACCCTCTCAATGATATCTGATTGTATCGCTACTCAATTGAAGTCTACTGGCAGGTTGCCCCCCCTCCCCTCCTCTCCAGGAGACCTAGAGAAAGCTGATTTGAAAAAAAACCGAATTGAAATTGCACAAGTGATTCTGGTGAGCTATTGAGCCGAGGCGAAAACTTTTACCTCAAAAAGCTTGTTCCCAGCGGAAATAGCGAGTCGTTCTAGATTGGGCACCAACTGAGCTGTAACAAACATCGATATCCATCGGCAGACATTATGCGGAGTGATCCTAAAAGGTACAGTATGTTCGACCGTACCGTTTTGCCGATGCCTGTTGAAATAGTTAATAATAGCTACAGAAATTTTCAAAGGGTCTTGAACTTCATGTATCTATTTCTCAGAGTTGTACCCTCGCAGAAACATTTTATATCCTTCGATACCAGATCGTTCACACTGTGAATAGGCTGTGCAGTTCAAAAATCGCGAAAACCTACTGTATATTATTTAGATTTAAGCATTTTTCTTCCATAATGAGATCGACCTGCTTATGGATATGAGAGAAATGAATGTCCGTCAATTTTTTCTTAAACGCTGTCACTGTTTTTCTTAAACGCTGTTTGACTGATAGAATTGCTTACCCCAGCAGGTTACCCCCACTGGAGTAAAAAATGAATTTTTTACAAGTCAATTTTTCCAGAATGTAGTTGCTGTGCTTGCGTACTTCAATTTTATCGTAGAAGTTAAATTTATCTGACTGGCAAATTTCAGAAAATCAGCAAGCAATACTGTGAAAGGGTTCTCGTTCATTGGAGCTCACCGCCTGATTCCGAGGCGATAAGGAAAGCTCAAAGAAGGCTTATTGAACCTGTGCTAGAGTCCTAGCGCTCAAATCGACGCCCTTTAAGAGGGTAAGGCTTAGAAAAAGTAGCAAAAAAGGGTTTGTACGAGATCGCAGTCTGATATTGTCTGGCTGTCTCCCATATAGGCGTACTATTCGCCGCGTCCTAACATTTCATTGTGAGCGGGTAAAGTCTTAATAAGGGCGGCCACTTTTGGGTGTGCATGGCTGCCAAACCGGCTTTAGAACACTTATGAAGCCCTGTTGAGGTCGTCAGCCCGGTAATGTCCCACGCGCTATACTTAGGGCCACAAGTTTATACTAGAGGAAAATCTAAAAAATACTATTTTCTATTCAAAGCAGAGATAATCTGAGCTTAAGCGATTTCCTTTCCTTCTTTTGATTTCAAAATAGACTACACTCTTCGCCGTGACTTTGTGTTCCGATCGTGATTCAAAACGTAACATAATTCCTTTTATCACATCATATCATAGAAGACTCATTGTTACTGTTCACGTACCTTTCAATAGTCGGAGCTTCAACGGCATTCGTTTCATTATTCCAACCAATGATAGAGAGTTTTTTCTTTGCTCTGACGAAGTCATAGTCTCCAGTGAAAACAATAGCTATTGAGTTATTTCCCAGGCTGAAAAATATTCACTGAAACAGGTAGAAATGTACTGATTGTTTAAAAGTTTCATCGTTCTCAACGTCTTTCAGCTAACATTTGAAATCAGTAAGTAGCCTGCAGTACTAAGTAATGCTACACGGAAACGTTTGAAAAGTACATAGTATAGGAACAGGTACAAGACAAAGAAGAAAGACAAGTATCGTGGTGCCGGTCGAACCCCGAATCTCCTCTATGAACCTTTTCTCAATGTAACACGAACGATTTCAAGTCAACAATAAGTCGTGCCTCGATAGAAACCTTTTATAGAGGATAAAGTATAAAGATTATGGCGTTGATCAATCCCGTCTGAGGGATGCGCTCCGCACTCGACTTCCATTCAAATGGCGTATTGAATGTGTAT